AAATTTAAAGTTTAGTTCAGGTTCAATTAAACTTGAACCTGAACCTAAATTGAACTGAACTGAACTTCGGAACACTAGACTTAGTATAATATTTAATTTTGGTCCACAAGTTATAATTTGGATTATACTTAATATCTTTACTAGCTTTGTATGTATATATATATTCAAAGCTACAGAATCAAGTTCCATTTGGCAAATTATGCATGTAATGTTTAGGATTTTTTTTATATACTATACATCTAACTAAAATTTCTTTTCTAATTCTTGTTTATAATAATAATGGCTTCTAGAATCTTCTTGATTCAAACTTTCATAATTGTTCTTATAGCATACTTTGTAGACTAGAGTTTCTTCTAGTAATATTAATTCATTACCAAATTAGGGATACTTTTATTGATAGCAATAGTTTTTTTTTTTTTGTTTATGATAATATGCTTTTTGGTTAACAACTTTCTCTTTATTATATCTATATTAGTATCTTTTATTTTCTTGTTCAAGTTGATTTTTAGAACAATTAGCACTAACATATCCTTTATTATTATATTTCCTACATTCATTCTCTGGACAATTCTTAAATTGATGACTTGATTAACCACAATTAGCACAGATACAGTAATATATTTAGGTTGTTGGTAAAAACATTTAACAGCAATATGCCCATAATTATCACATTGCTAATATTTGTTATATTGGTAATTTTTAAAATAGTGATTAGTTTGTTCACATATTCTACACCCTTGATTTTTCTTGTGGAAAATTTTTGGTTTTTGTTGATATATAGTCTATCCTGAATCTTCAATATTATTAGATTTTGCTTTCAAAGTATAAGCTTTATGAGAGATTAATTTCTTATTCTCATATTCTTCTTCTTAGTCATCATTCACTTTATTAACTACAGATTATTTTTCTATAGCCTGGTTATACTCATAGATAGTAGATATAATAATACGATAACTGTCCCAATGCATGATATATTCTTTAGTTTTCTAATTATATTGAGCTTCTACTTTATAAAACTAATTATTTCTCAAAATAAGAGAATAAGTAGTTGCTAATACAATTTCTATAGAAATAGAAATAGTAATTCTTGCAATTTCTACAGAAATATCTTTAATAATATCTAGAGGTCTAACTTGTTTTCTAAGTGCAGATAAAATCAAACTATTAGAAGGGATATCTATTTCTAATCCAATTTCTTTAGCAGCTTGTTGAGTAATCATACTGAAAGCAGCTCTACTATTAATGATAGCAGTAAATAACTTATTACAAATACTTTACAGGAATAGTTTATGGTCTATTAAAGTATATTAGATTTACAATATTGAAGTTACCTTGCAAATAATTTGCCAAAGCTCTTCTAATACTAGTATTGTTTAAAAGAGTATCTCAATAATTGGTAGAGGTAGTTCTTTATTATCTGCCAAGTTGATATACTGACAAATAGAAGATCTATAATGAACTTTTTGGTCTTTAGATTAACTTTTAGATCTGCTTTTATCATAATGATTATAATCTCTAGATCTGCTTCTGTTATAATAATTATAATCTTGAGTATTTCTTCTATATCTTTTTCAACTCCTAGATAAATTTTTTTTATAATTTCAAGGTTCTAATCTGAATCTTCTTCTGAAATCTCTATTTTGATAAAAATTGTTTCTTCTTCTATCAAGTTGATATTATGCAACAACATATCTAATATTATTATATTAAAAACAATAAATATTTGGGTTAATTTTGATTTTGATTATTTGGATTATAACTACTCTCAACAGTATAAACTTTCTTCTTATTATTTTGTTAGATCAAATTAAGACTATTGGTTAAATTTTGAAT